TTTTTTTTTTTTTTTACTTGCGAACCCAACAAATCCTTTTTTTTTTAGCTTGCGAACCCAACGAACCCCCTTTTATTGGCTCGCGAACTCAACGAACCCTTTTGACTTGCGAACAAAACCTCTTTTTTGATTTGCGAATCCTATGAACCCCCCTTTTTTTGATTTGCGAGCCCAACAAACCCATTTTTTGACTTGCAAACCGAACCCCTTTTTTGATTTGTGAATCAAATGAACCCCTTTCTTTGACTTGCGAACCCAACGAACCCCTTTTTTTGACTTGCGAACCAAACCTCTTTTTTGATTTGCAAATCCAATGAACCCCCCTTTTTTCGATTTGCGAGCCCAACAAACCCATTTTTTGACTTGCGAACCGAACCCCTTTTTTGATTTGTGAATCAAACGAACCCCTTTCTTTGACTTGCGAATCCAACGAACCCCTTTTTTGACTTGCGAACCAAGTGCACCCCCTTTTCGGAGACACGGGGGGGGCTGTTGCGGGATGCGAAGTTGGACCTCCCGTGAGACCCCAGGAGACCCCCACACACACTCACCCAATTTAAGGCAGAACGTCGGGCCCCTGTCCTCTTTAAGGCAGAACCCCAATTTAGCCTGGGGTTTTCAGCGCTGGCATGGGGGGGTCCCTTGTCCTGCTCAGCCTGGAGCTTCTCTCTTGGGTAGGTGAGGTGGGAGGGGTTCTTGGGGGTCTGTAAAAGGCTTGGGACACCCCTCTATGGGGAAGGGGCACCCCAATGCCTGGCATTTACCCGGAAGCTGGGAAGACCCAAACCGCACTTGGGAATTGTGTCTTTAAGAACACCCTTACTTGGACACACACCCCGAAGTAAGAAAGTTTGGAAAAGAAGTGATAGACTTGCTTTTAAGAGGGTTGGTTTTCCTGAATCAGGGTGGGATGGGGGGGTCTTCCTTCCACCTCCAGAGCCCCCTGGGTCTGTGCCTGGGACCCTCCTCCCATTACGCCCCAGAGGTTTTCTCCAGAGTTCTGGGCCGGGACGAGTGAAAGGATTGGATTTGCACCCATGGACTCAATCTGGAGAGCAGGAAGAAGTCCATGTGCCTAGACATCTTTGGGGCAGCCGGAGGTTAAAAGAGAAGGTCCATGTATCTGGGGGATGCTACCCTGTAGGGTGGGCGTACTGAAGAACTGAAGAGTTGGAAGAAAAGGTGGTGTCTTTTGGTATAAAGCAGGGGTGTCTCACCTGGGTGACATAATAATAATAATAATAATAATAATAATAATAATAATAATAATAATAATAATAATAATAATAATAATAATAATAATAATAATAATAATAATAATATGGTGATGATGATGATGATGATGATAGAAGGGACCTTGAAGTCACCTAGTCCAAACCCTATACCATTTCAGACAAATGGCTGTCCAGTCTCTTTTTAAAGACCAGGGGACTTAAAAATAACAACAACAACAACAACAACAACAACAATAATAATAATAATAATAATGTTGGAAGGGACCTTGGAGGTCATCTAGCCCAACCCCTGCTCAGGCACAAAACCCTACCATTTCAGACAAATGATTGTCCTCTTCTTAAAGACCAGGGGACATTATTATTATTATTATTATTATTATTATTATTATTATTATTATTATTATTATTATTATTATTATTAATAATAATAATGTTGGAAGGGATCTTGGAGGTCATCTAGTCCAATCCCCTGCTCAGGCAGGAAACCCTATACCATTCCAGACAAATGGCTGTCCAGTCTCTTCTTAAAGACCAGGGGACATAATAATAATAATAATAATAATAATAATAATAATAATAATAATAATAATAATAATAATAATAATAATAACAACAACAACAACAACAACAACAACAACAACAGCAACAACAGCAACAATAATAATAATAATGTTGGAAGGGACCTTGGAGGTCATCTAGTCCAACCCCTTGCTCAGGCAGGAAACCCTATACCATTCCAGACAAATGGCTGTCCAGTCTCTTCTTAAAGACCAGGGGACATAATAATAACAATAATAACCCTAACAACAACAACAATAATAATAATGATAATAATAATAATAATAATAAACTTCAACTCCCAGAATCCCCCAGCCAGCGTAGTCCTCACTCAGCTCTTAAAGCCGCCAAGGTGGGACAGGATCCCTTAACAACCGTGTTACTAACTTAACGACTGCAGTGATTGGCTTAACTGTGGCAAGAAAGATGGTAAAATGGGGCAAAACTCACTGAACATCTGTCTCGCTTAGCAACATAATTTGGGGCTCAATTGTCGTAAGTCGAGGACTGCCTGTATTGTAATTCATTGGTTCTAGAAATGATCAGGAATGGATCTCTTTCTCTTTAGTGAGTACCAAGGGCTGGTGAAACACACGGGAGGCTGCCACTGCGGGGCTGTCCGGTTTGAAGTCTGGGCCTCCGATAACCTCCATGTCTTTGATTGCAAGTAAGTATCGCCAGATAACTTTCTCGTTGGGAAAGAGGTACAGTCAGCCAGATGTTCAGGCTGGATTTGACATTTTTGACCACCTGTTGAGTCCTTCCTCAGGACCTGGGATAAGCAGATGTGGATGTTTAATAATATTAAAGGTTTCGTGGCAGGATTTAAGCTGTTCCGAGCAAAGCTGCCTTCCGCAATTGACGGATGGTGATTTTTGTCAATGCCCACGGTGTTCAAGTGGTTCTCACCCATCAGCCAGATGCTCAGATTGCATTTGGCATTTTTGTCCACCTGTCGAGTTCTTCCCGAGCACCTGGGATAGGCAGATGTTGTTGTTTAATAATAATAAAGATTACGTGGCAGGATGTAAGCCGTTCCGAACAAAGCTGCCTTCCGCAATTGACGGATGGTGATTTTTGTCAATGCCCATGGTGTAAGTAGTTCTCATGGAATTCTGGGAGTTGAAGTCCACAAGTCATAAAAGGACCATAGTTCCCCACCCCTGGTCTACACTAACCCCCCATCAGGAGGACCCTGGTAGCCCCTTTTCCAAAAGCTCACAAAACCTTCTGCTTCTGCTTCGAGGCGTGGAAACATGTTAGCAACATAGAAACATATCAGTTGAGTTGCCATAGCAGTTTGGATAAGCACACAGGTGGTCCTTGACTTACAACAGTTTCTTTAGTGACCACTGGAAGTTACAACGGCACTGAAAAAAAGCGACTTAGGGCCATTTTTCACACTTAATGACCGTTGCAGCCACGCGACCCAAATTCAGGTGCTTGGCAACTGACTTCACATTTATGACGGCTAGACTGTCCCGGGGCCGTGGGATCCCCTTTTGCGACCTTCCCAGCTGGCTTCCGATCAGCAGAGTCAACGGGGGAAGGGGAAGCCAGATTCGCTTAACGTCCGCCTGATTCACTTAACAACTGTAGGGATTCGCTTAACGGCCATGGGAGAAAAAAAAAGGTAAAAATGGGGCAAAACTCATTTAATGAGTCTTGCTTAGGAATAGAAATTTTGGGCTGAATGGTGGTTGTAAGTCAAGGACAGCCTGGACTGAGGTCTTCAAGGTTGCCTCAGTTAGCACACGCATTCCTTCCGTGTGTCCACTTCTCCAACAATTTTTTTTCTTAATAATAATAATAATAAAGTTGGAAGGGACCTTGGTGATCATCTAATCTAACCCCCTGATGAGGCAGGAAACTCTATACCATTTCGGACAGATGGCTGCCCAGTTTCTTCTTAAAAACTTCTAGTGTTGGAGCATTCACCGCTTCTGGAGGCAGGTTGTTCCACTGGTTAATTGTTCTCACTGTCAGGAAATTTCTCCTTAGTTCCAGGTTGCTTCTCTCCTTGATGAGTTTCCATCCGTTGCTTCTTGTCCTGCCTTCAGGGGCTTTGGAGAATAGCTTGACTCCTTCTTCTTTGGGGCAGCCCCTGAGATACTGGAAGGCTGCTATCATGTCCCCCCTCGTCCTTCTCTTCATTAAACTAGACATACCCAATTCCAGCAACCGTTCCTTATATGTTTTAGCCTCCAGTCCCCTAATCATCTTTGTTGCTCTTCTCTGCACTCTTTCTAGAGTCTCAGCATCTTTTTTACATCGAGGTGACCAAAACTGGATGCCGTATTCCAAGCTTGGCCCTACCAAGGCCTTGTAAAGTGGTATGAACACTTCACGTGATCGTGATTCTATCCCTCTGTTCATGCAGCCTAGCACTGTGTTGGCCTTTTTGGCAGCTGCAGCACACGGCTGGCTCATATTTAAGTGATTTTCCACTAGGACTCTGAGGTCCCTCTCACAGTTACTACTATTGAGCAAGGTTCACAAAGGGGACTATCAAAGTCCCTTTTTTTCACTTGCAGGCTCAGCCTCCTCGTTTCGGTCTCTCGTGGAGAGGGTCTCTCCCCAATTCACATTTCTTCTTCTTCTCCTCGTTCTTTTCCCTCTCCCCTCCTCCAGTTGCAGCATCTGCGTGAAGAAACAGAACAGGCATTTCATCGTCCCGGCTTCCCACTTTAAGCTCTTGAAGGTAAGAAGAGGGTGGGTGGATGTTGCCCGGAGTCCTCTGGGGTTTTCCCTGTTGGCATTCTCAGTGGTGGAAAAGCGGCTGGCTGAAGAGACAGTCTCTGCGAAGGGTTGGTTGAGATCCAGGTTTAGGGACCTTGCGTTATGGGATCCTTGGTGCTCTCTGAGCTTGGTAGTTTTCCTGCAGACGTTTCATGGCCAACTAGATAACATCATCAGTGCTAGGAGGGAGGAGGAGGTGGAGGACTGTGGGGGTCTCTGGTGCTCTCTGAGCTGGGTGGTTTTCCTGCAGACGTTTCATGACCCAGCTAGGTAACATCATCAGGGCTAGAGGGGAGTTTGAAGGGAGGAGGAGGAGGAGGAGGACTGTGGGGGTCCTTGGTGCTCTCTGAGCTTGGTGGTTTTCTTGCAGACGTTTCATGAGTCAACTACGTAACATCAGTGCTAGAGGGGAGAGGAGGAGGAGGAGGAGGAGGAGGAGGAGGAGGAAAAAAAGGACTGGGGTTCCTTGGTGCTCACTGAGTTTGGTTTTCTTGGAAACATTTCATGACCCAACTAGGTAGTTGCTGGGAGGGAGTGAGGTTTGCAGAGTGGAGGGTTGTGGGGAAATGACAATTGTGGGGTCCTTGGTGCTCTCTGAGCTTGGTGGTTTTCTTGCAGACATTTCATGACCCAACTAAGTAACATCATCAGTGTCACGGTTCCGACAGATGAAACTCTTCAAAGGAACTTCGAGGCATTGTTTACCTTAAAGAATCTTTATTTGAGGAGCATAGCCTCGGCACTAACACAGTCGAAGCCAAAAACTGGATCCACCCCCTCCCCTGAGCACATAGTATCAAAGCACAATTCCCTCCTCCAATTAACAGTCATAAATCAGATTCCCCAATTAGCTTGAAACGGCAGGCTTCCCCTCCAGTCCTCCAGCCCAGCCAATTCTTATCATCTCTTATTTCAATCACCTTGGTTCTCACCCTAGGTCCAATATTGTTATGTCTAGCTGAACTCTCATGCACGTTCCTCCCTCCAGCATCATCTAACTCTAACTCTAACTCTAAGAGTAAAACATAAGAAGAAAATGGTTGCATCTCCAACTGTTGTCAAAGCAAAAACATCGGATGTTAGTAGTGTTGACAATCAGTGCTAGAAGGGACCGGGGTTTCTTCTCTGTTTATATACCAGTGGCTTGCCCTCTCAGTGTTGATGGGAATGTTGATTTTCTTCTTGGCGGTTCTTGATCAGGCTGTGGTTTACTGTTTGTTTGTCTGATGTTCCCTCCTAGTTGGGTCACGAAACATCTGCAAGAAGACCACCCAAAGCTTTGAGAGCAGCAAGGCCCTCCCAGTTCAACCCTGAGCTAAGGCCTGGGCTTAGACCAGGGGTAGGCAACCTTGGCTCTTTTATGACTCGTGGACTTCAACTCCCAGAATTCCTGAGCCAGCCATGCTGAGGAGAAATGGAGAGGTTTCCATGCTGAGCCATGCTGGCTCAGGAATTCTGGGAGTTGAAGTCCACGAGTAATGAAGGGAGCCATAGTTCCCCCACGCTGGCTGAGGAATTCTGGGAGTTGAAGTCCACGAGTCATGAGGGGGCCATAGTTCCCCCATGCTGGCTCAGGAATTCTGGGAGTTGAAGTCCACGAGTCATGAAGGGGGCCATATTTCCTCCATGCTGGCTCAGGAATTCTGGGAGTTGAAGTCCACAAGTCATGAGGGGGCCATAGTTCTCCCATGCTGGCTGAGGAATTCTGGGAGTTGAAGTCCACGAGTCATAAAAGAGCCAAGGCTGCCTACCCCTGGCCTAGACAAATCTCCTGCAATCTCTTTTACAAGCTAAGAAATTAGGGTGATTTAACATCTAAGGCGGGACTAGAACTCACAGCCTCCTGGTTTCTACCTGGTACCATAAACACTACAAGAAACTGATTTTTTTTCCAGACCTGGCCACTTTTAAGATGTGTGTAGTTCAAGTCCCAGAATTCCTCAGCCAGAATGTTTGGATTAAACCAATGATTTATCAAACATGGCCACTTTAGGCAATTTTCATCATTTGAATCAGCATCTTGGCTGGAGAATTCTGGGAATTGAAGTCCACTCATCTTAAAATGGCCAACTTTGGAAAGACTGAGTCAAGAGGATGGTCTAATGCAGGGGTAGGCAACCTTGGCTCTTTTATGACTCGTGGACTTCAGCTCCCAGAATTCCTGAGCCAGCCATGCTGAGGAGAAATGGAGAGGTTGCCATGCTGAGCCATGCTGACTCAGGAATTCTGGGAGTTGAAGTCCATGAGTCATGAAGGGGCCATAGTTCCCCCATACTGGCTCAGGAATTCTGGGAGTTGAAGTCCACAAGTCATGAGGGGGCCATAGTTTCCCCATGCTGGCTCAGGAATTCTGGGAATTGAAGTCCACGAGTCATAAAAGAGCCAAGATTGCCTACCCCTGGCTTAGACCATTTATGGGAACGTAATTATTCTAGCCTGATTGCTCGCTTGACACCGCCCCTAGACTCTGACTGCTCTTCTTCTACATATCACGACTCTGTGTCTGTGTGTGTGTGTGTGTGTGTGTGTCTGTGTCTGTGTGTTTGTGTCTACAACAGTCAGAAGTGCCTTTCTGAGGCTGGCATACCTTCAGACCATCGTTAAAAGAAACTATCATGAGTCAAGGGCTATTTGTAGCTTGGATTTTCTTAACCTCGGCAACATTAAGAGGTGGCTGGCTGGGGAATTCTGGGAGTTGAAGTCCACACCTTTTAAAGTTGCCAAGGTTGAGAAATATTGATCTAATCCAGGGGTGTCAAACTGCTGGCCCGCGGGCCGGATGCGTCGTGGCAAAACCGCGCCCACCCCGTTGCCGGCAATGGAGAAAAAAGTGACGATACGTCGCCACACGTCGCGTGACGTCCTGAGTTTGACACCCTTGATCTAATCCGATTCCCTGCAAACTACGTTATTTCGGCCATCCTGGGGAGGTGGTGGATGTCCAACGTCTTCTTAAAAGCCTCCAGAGATGGAGGACCCCATCCACCCACCTCCACTCTTCTCCTAGATCTCACAAAACATAGCAACGATGCCCCTAAAATGAGGTGTCTTTCCCACCAAAACCCACCCCCCCCACTTTGTGTCTTCTTTCCCTCCAGGGTGCTGACCATCTCACCACGTACACCTTCAACACCCACTGCGCCCAGCACACCTTCTGCAAGACGTGCGGCGTCCAGAGCTTTTACACGCCCCGTTCCAACCCAGACGGCTACGGTAGGATACGATTTGGGGCAATCTGGGTCGAATCCTACCATTCTCTCCCAGATGCGAATCCATCATCTTTTTTTTTACAACCCTGGTTTTTTCTCCGTTTTAATTTTCTCAGGCTGCAATAGAGGTGGTTTCCCCCCCCCCCCCTATGTTATGCGAAAGTTATTTCTGTTTTTGTACAATTGCAAAGCTAATCTGTGAAAAGTGTTTTATGGCAAAAAAACCCCGGAATTTTCTTTAAGAGCGCGCGACCACGCTTTCTTTGTTCCATGGTTAGATAGCGGTGGGTCTGTTTGGACCTACTGTATACTGATTGCCTCCGGCAGCTGTTTGAACCCCGAATTTGTCTTTGTCTTCTATCATGAGCCCTGGTGGCGCAGTGGTTAGAGTGCCTTATTGCAGGCTGACTCTGCCCACAGCCAGGAAGTTTTATCCTGACTGGTTCAAGGTTGACTCGGTCTTTCGTCCGTCCGAGGTCGGTAACATGAGGACCCAGATTGTTGGGGGCAAATAGGCTGACTTTGTAAATTGTAAACTGCTTAGAGAGAGCTATAAAGCACTGGGAAGCGGTATATAAGTCTATGTGCTATTGCTTGGAAGGAAAGAAAAAAGAAGGGAGGGAGGGAGGGAGGGAGGGAGGGAGGAAGGAAGGAAGGAAGGAAGGAAGGAAGGAAGGAAGGAAGGAAGGAAGCCATGGTGGCGCAATGGTTAGAATCCAGCATTGCAGGCTGACTCTGCCCACAGCCAGGAAGTTCGATCCTGACCAACTCCAGGTTGACTCAACCTTCCGTCCTTCCGAGGTCGGTAACATGAGGACCCAGATTGTTGGAGGCAAATAGGCTGACTCTGTAAACCGCTTAGAGAGGGCTGTAAAGCACTGTGAAGCGGTATATAAATCTAAGATCTATTGCTATTACCTATTACCATTCCGAAAATATTCAACAATCCACAGGTAGTCCTCCACTTACAACTGTAATAGAGCTTGCCCATCATGGTCATAAGTTACGATGTAATAAAGCAGGACATCCACTTGGCTGACTCAATTTCATGGTCTCTTTTGCAGCGGTCATTAAGCAAACCGCTGCTTAGCTATGGGTCCCTTTTGACGAACTCCAGAAATAAATGCTGGTTTTTGAGCAAAACCTTGGTAAAACAGGACCGCAGACACTGCAGGGAGTCGTAAAATGCAAACTCATTGGCCCTGGAGGGCTGGCTGTTGAAACTTTTTAAGCAGGTTATAGGTACCTCCGGGGAGATCCCTCGTGACTTTGAGTGATCCCTAAGCAATCAAGTCAAGGACCACCTGTAGTAACTACTTCCTACTCTCCTGTTTTACCCGTCTTCTCTTTTGTAACAATGAAATAAGCCCCTTCTGGCAGTCAAACGTTTAGAACATAGAACATAGAATAACTGAGCTGGAAGGGACCTTAGAGGTCATCTAGTTGAACCCCCTGCTCAAGCAGGAGACTCTCTATCATTCCAGACAAATGGCTGTCCAGTCTCTTCTTAAAAACTTCCAGTGTTGGAGCATTCATACCTTCTGGTGGCAAGGAGTTCCACTGGTTAATTGTTCAGACTGTCAGGAAGTTTCTCCTTAATTCCAGGTTGCTTCTCTCCTTGATGAGTTTCCATCCGTTGCTTATTGTCCTGCCTTCAGGCGCCTTGGAGAATAGCTTGACTCCCTCTTCTTTGGGGCAGCCCCTGAGATATTGGAAGACTGCTATCATGTCCCCCCTCGTCCTTCTTTTCACTAGATTAGGTATACTCAGTTCCTGCAACTGTTCTTTGTATGTTTTAGCCTCCTGTCCAATGATCATGTATTAAGAGGTGTCTTCAGATCAGGTAAAGCCATTTAATGTATAAAAGAATTGTCTTCTCACTCACCTTCTCCTCAACAGAGGGACAGAATCAAGATCACGTGAAGTGTTAATACCACTTTACAAGGCCTTGGTAAGGCCACACTTGGAATACGGCATCCAGTTTTGGTCACCACGATGTAAAAAACATGCTGAGACTCTAGAAAGAGTGCAGAGAAGAGCAACAAAGATGATTAGAGGACTGGAGGCTAAAATATATAAGGAACGGCTGCTGGAATTGGGTATGTCTAGTTTAACGAAGAGAAGGACGGGGGGGGGGGGGACATGATAGCAGTCTTCCAGTATCTCAGGGGCTGCCCCATAGAAGAGGGAGTCAAGCTATTCTCCAAAGCCCCTGAAGGCAGGACAAGAAGCAACGGATGGAAACTCAGGAAGGAGAGAAGCAACACTAAAACTAAGGAGAAATTTCCTGACCGTTAGAACAATTAACCAGTGGAACTCCTTGCCTCCAGAAGTTGTGAATGCTCCAACACTGGAAGTTTTTAAGAAGAGACTGGACAGCCATTTGTCTGAAATGGTATAGGGCAGGGGTAGGCAATCTTGGCTCTTTTATGACTGGTGGACTTCAACTCCCAGAATTCCTGAGCCAGCCATGCTGGCTCAGGAATTCTGGGAGTTGAAGTCCACAAGTCATAAAGGAGGCCATAGTTCCCCCATGCTGGCTCAGGAATTCTGGGAGTTGAAGTCCACAAGTCATAAAAGAGCCAAGGTGGCCTACCTCTGGTATAGGGTCTCCTGCCTGAGCAGGGGGTTGGACTAGAAGACCTCCAAGGTCCCTCCCAACTCTGTCCTTCGGCTACCGCTGTCTGTCTCTTTCATTGCAGGAATCGCGCCCCACTGCCTGGATGAGGGGACCATCACCAAGATCACCGTGGAGCCCATTAACGGCAAGGAGTGGGAGAAAGCCGTGAAGGGCCACCCCACCATCAGGAATATGTCAAAGCCGTGACCGTCCCGGTTCTGGAAACCACAACGGGCCCTCACGTCTCCCTTCTTCAACTCGGGTTTCATTTAGGAAACCAAAGAGTGCCATTTTTGGGGGTGAAATATTCTTTCTCTCCTGCTTATTTCCCCCATCGATAGAATAGCGGCATAGAAACAGGATTATCTCAATCCTACGCCCCTCCTTTAAAAAAAAAATATTCTAGCCTTCTTATCTTGAGAAAAAGAGCACTAAAGGAAGATTTAAACACCGCGAAGCCCCCCAAATACGCCGTAACGTGGAAAGATCCGGAGGGGAAATTCCCACGGTGGTGTTCCTGCAGATAGCCCTCGACTTATAACCTTTCATTTAGTGACAATAGCACTGAAAAAAGTGACCTATGACCGTTTTTCACACTTAACGACCGTTGCAACACCCCCACGGTCACATGGTCAAAAGTCAGAGACTTGGCAACTGGCGTGTACTTGACAGTTGCACGTGATCCCCTTTTGCAAACTTCTGAAAAGCAAAGTCGATGGGGGAGCCCGTGTGACTTAAGAGCCGCAGTGACTCCCTTAACAACGGGGGCTAGAAAAGATAAGATAAGATAACCTTTATTATTAACCTTTATTGTCATTTTTTTACTGTGGGCACAACGGCACACATCAAAAATGAAATTTTAGTTGCCCGCTCTCAAAAGTGAAACGCATACATGACGCACACCTAAACATACTACGAACAACATATGCATAGACCCACATCCCTACATACACGTAGCAAATAAATATTAAACACCGTCCATCTTGAATATATAACGGAAGGAGGAAGCTTGAGAGTTCGCAAGTTGATGTTGTATGGAATGAAACTATGGCTGAATCTGGATGTTCTGCTTCGGATACCACGAAGCCCCCTTCTCCCAGAAGGGAACAAGGAAAACAGGCCGTGAAGAGGATGTGTAGCGTCCCAGACAATCTTACAGACCCTGCTCAAGCAACGCTTCTGTGCTACGTCCTGGATGGGAGGGAGGGAACTGCCAATGATCTTTTCAGCTGTCCTCACCACTCTCTGCACTGCCTTCCTGTCTGAAGCAGGGATGCCTCCAAACCAGACCGTGATGCCGTATGACAGGATGCTCTCGATTGTTCCCCTGTAGAAAGTGGTCAGGACAGGGGAAGGAAGATGTGCTTTTCTCATGCAGCGCAGAAAACGCAGGCGCCCCTGTGCCCGCTTCACCAGTTTCTCACTGTTGAGCGACCAAGTCAGCCTACTCGTTAGCTGCACACCCAGGAATTTGACGCTGGCAACCGTCTCCACAGGTGAATCATTTGTGCACAGAGAAGTGTGGCTGTGCCTGCCTTTTCTGAAATCGACAATGATCTCTTTGGTTTTTCCGGTGTTTAAAACTAGGCTGTTTTCCTTATACCAGTTCACCAACCCCTCAACCTCCTTGCGGTAAGCTTCCACCTTGTCATCCTGAATAAGGCCCACTACTGTTGTGTCGTCTGCGAACGTCACAATATGGTTGGTGGCAAACCTGGCACAACAGTCATGAGTCAACAGGGTGAACTGCAGCGGACTGAAGATGCAGCCCTGAGGAGAACCGGTGCTCAAAAAAAGCTGTACAATGAGGCAAAACTCACTTCACAAGTGTCTCACTCAGTAATTGAAATTGTGGTCGTAAGTCGAGGACTACCTGTATTTTGGGGCAAGGAGATCTCCTGCAAGTGGAAGCAGGATCCCCGTTAAGGCAGCCTGAAGATTTGAAGAAGATCTCCATATTTTTTTAAAAGAAAAAGAAAAATGGATTCTTAGATTTATTTTTAATTTATTTTTACTTTTTTTTGAAGGAGGCGCTGATCCCTCATGGTGCTTTAGAATAATTTCCACAGAGGCCTCTTTTTGTGACGGCCTTGATTCAATCCGGGGCTAAGTTAGTAGCCGGAGCTGCACAGACTTTTAAGAAACTCAGTTTGTTCTGGGAATTGGGGTGGGGACTGTCTTTGCGTATTGTGTGAATGCCTAAAATGGCTCCATTCAGTTTTCAGGTTTAGAGTTAGGTATGAATGCTGTTTTAATGTCGCTTTGTCCAAAATGACACTTCTCACTTTTGAGGAAATTCTTCTTTTGGAAAAAAAAAAAAACCAATAAAAAAATACATATTTTTAAAACATTTGTCCTTTCAGTTGGATCCTTTATTATTATTATCGCTTGCCGACGGGCAGGAATCTAGCCGGACTGAAGCCCAAGTGCTCATCTATTATAGTATTATGGAACACTGCAGCCAATTTTGGTCACCGTATCACAAAAAAAGATGTTGAGAGTCTGGAAAAAATTCAGAGAAGAGCAACTAAGATGATCAAAGGCCTGGAGACCAAAACATACGAAGAACGGCTGCGGGACTTGGGTTTGGCTAGTCTAAAGAAAAGAAAAAATAGGAGAGACATGATAGCAGTATTCCAGTATCTGAGGGGCTGCCACAAGGCAGAGGGGGTCACATTATTCTCCAAAACACCAGAGGGAAGGAAGAGAAACAATGGTTGGAAACTGATCAAAGAGAGAAGCAACCTGGAATTAAGGAGAAACTTCCTGATGGTGAGGACAATTAACCAGTGGAACAGCTTGCCACCAGAAATCGCGGGCGCTCCATCACTGGAGGTTTTTAAGAAGAAGCTAGACCAGTGATGGCAAATCTTTTAGAGACCGAGTGCCCAAACTGCAACCCAAAACCCACTTATGTATCGACGGGTGCCGGGTGGGTGTGGCCCACTCGGGCGCAGCTACAGTGGGCGTGGCAGACTGGGTGGGCGTGGCCACTGGATGGGTGTGGCTGCAGTAGTCATGGCAGACTGGGTGGGCATGGCCGGGGTGGGCGTGGCCACCTCGATGTTGCTTATGGGGAGGGACATCTGTGGGAGCCGGGCAGGGTTGGGGGAGATCCAGGGGGTCTCTGGTGGGTGGGATGGTGGGCTCCCCAATGGCGGCTCCAGGCTGGCTGGCCTTAGGCCAGTGACAGCGAACTTTTAGAGACCACGTTTGCTGGGGTGATGGCGCGTGCCCACAGAGAGGGCTCCACGTGCCGCTTCTGGCATGCGTGCCGTAGGTTCACCACCACGGAGCTAGACAGTCACTAGTCTGAGATGGTCTAAGTTCTCCTGCTTGAGCAGGGGGATAGACTAGAAGACCTCCATGGTCCCTTCCAGCTCTATTCTAGATAGATAGATAGATAGATAGATAGATAGATAGATAGACAGACAGACAGACAGACAGACAGACAGACAGACAGACAGACAGACAGACAGACAGACAGACAGACAGACAGACAGACAGACGATGATAGATAGATAGATAGATAGATAGATAGATAGATAGATAGATAGATAGATAGATAGATAGATAGATAGATAGATAGCCTCCAGAAATCATGGGCGCTCCATCACTGGAAGTTTTTAAAAAGAGACTGGACAATCACCTGTCTGAAATGGTATAGGTTCTCCTGCTTGAGCAGGGGGCTGGACTAGAAGACCTCCATGGTCCCTTCCAGCTCTATTCTATTCTACTAGATACGCTCTATGAACTGCCAGGGAGGCTCCTTCCTGGCTCTCTTCCGGCTTTGATCCTTGGGAAAGACCCCCTCCCTCCCTCCCTCCTCCTGTGACTTTGTCCCAGATTCCCCCACATCAGCTCCCCATTCAGGCAGGTCAAGTGAGTCCAGAGTGGGTCCTCTTCCATTTTTTATTATTTATTTATTTGAGAAAATCGATAACGGCCACCCAGGCCGCCCAACTCACTGTCGGTGACTCCCGGGCGGCTTACAAAGATACACATCCAACACAAGAACAACGGAAAAGCCACAATCCTCCACCTCCCTGGCAACCGCAGTCAAAAGTGCCGTTTGATGGGCTCCATCCTGCTCTGGGGGGGGGTCCCCTGGCCCACTGGAAAAGCCATATCTTCAGGGTCTTGTGAGAGAGTGCCAAGGTGGGGGCCAATCTTATCTCCACAGGGATGATGTTCCCCAGGGAGGGAGCCACCACGGAGAAGGCCCTTCTTCTTGGTCCCACCAGATGGACCTCCTCAAGGGAGAGGACCCATAACGTCTTATTTCCAATCTTATCTCTGCAGGAGTGATGTTCCACAGGGAGAAGTCCCTTCTTCTTGGTCCCACCAGATGGACCTCCTTAGGAGAGGGGACCCATAACATCTCATTTCCGATTTTATCTCTGTGGGGATGATGTCCCTCAGGGAAGGAGCCACCACGGAGAAGGCCCTTCTTCTGGGTCCCACCAGATGGGCCTCCTTAAGAGAGGGGACCCATAACACCTTATTTCCAACCTTATTTCCACAGGGATGATGTTCTACAGGGAGGGAGCCACCACGGAGAAGGCCCTTCTTGGTCCTGCTAGATTTTTCCACTCGTCAGGGGCCTAGAGAGTCAAAGTCTTCCTCCCTTTCTCTCTCCGTGTCTCCAGTTCATCCAAGCTCTCTTCCCCGTTAGAGGAAACGCAGCGAGTTGATCACCATGTAGCGCGAGAACTTCACGTACAAACGGCGGAACCAGAGCAGCTGGCTGTGGTGACACCGCATTGCCCTCTGGAAAGATAAAGACAGCATCAGATTTTAGCCAGGCCAAATGCTTTGGGTGAAACCGTGAGTACGGGTAATCCTCGACTTAACAACCGTTCGTTTCGTGACCGAACTTACAACAGCGCTGAAAAAAATGTTGATGACGTGAATGTTGACGACGTGACCGTGGGGATGCTACAACGGATGTGTTTACGCATCCGTTGCAGCATCCCTACGGTCACGTCAACAATATTCAAAGGTTTAGCAAGGGATTCAGAGTTATGACGGTGGCGAGTGTCCCCGGGGGTCCTGTGATCCCCTTTTGCGACCTTCTGACGAGCAAAGTCGATGGGGGAAGCCGGATTCACTAACAACTGTGTGGCTAACTTAGCAACGGCAGCGATTCACGTAACAACTGTGGCAAGAAAAGTCGTAAGGTGAGGCAAAACTCAACAGTCTCGTTTTGCAACAAAAATGTGGGTCTCGTCAGAAGGTGTGACCACGTGACCCGGGACACTGCAACGGTCGTAAATATGAGCCAGTTTTGCCCAGCAGCCAAATGTTG